ACAAGACATTGGGCAGGCTGGGAATAGATGGAAGAGAAAAATCTATAAAGGATACTGTCCCCACTGAACTCCCAACTTGAGCAAGTCTGTGTTGCAATTTTAACACAGTGTCTGTGCAATATGGAGCAGCACTGCAACATCCATCTCTAGGGGAACCAGCAATGGACAACACACCTGGGGAAGGGATGCTGCTTACTCAGGCACAGAAAGAGGGCTTAGGGATAAGATTTGTGAGTATTACACTGCGACTGCTACGCCAGCTTTTTACTAGCCAATAATCTATTACTGAGCATAAAAATGAGCATTTCAGTGTAGCCAGGCTAACATTCATGTTAACTCACAAGACCATTGAAATCAATAAAAGGAAATATAAACCAACACTGCAAATAAACTATTTGCATACCTGGTCATCATCATAATTAGGATCCTTAATATCTACTTCTTCCACATCATAAACTTGACCTGGTGTTCCCCAAACTCCTTTACCACCTGCTCCACCTGGAAATATATGGGAGAGTAAGTAAGGACCACCAGTTTACAAACAACACTTCTGATTTCAACACAGCATTCTTCCACTCAAAAGTGATCTATCACTGCTTGTGCCCATCTCCTGACTAACAATATATGCTGAAAAGGGTGTGTTTATCTGACAAATTCCCACTTCCTCAGCCACTTTTCATCACTTTCCAGTAAGACATGGAATGGAATGCACAACAAGTCCTGAAGGCTGAAACTGTATTTTCAAATACAATAATGATTTAAATTTGCATTAATAACAGTTCAGATTTGTGCATTAAACCTGCTAAGGAAATGTACTTCCCTCAAAGACAGATGTTGATTGCTTACAGACATATTAGATTTGCTGCCACCTGCTATTGCCACCCACTAAATAACATAAAGGGCCAAATGCTTGCACAGAGACTGTGGTTTATGATAATGATTCCCAGCAGAAAAAAAACGTACTGTGCTTTGAACAAATCTTTATCTTTCTCATTCTACTCTCTCCACTAAGCTACACCAACCTTTCTTCGGTAGACCTCTTCCCTTTCCAGACCGGGATCGCCTGTCCAGGAGTTTCCCCTTTGGGCTCGTTGGTACAACTCCAACCTTCAGCGTCTCTCCGTTCTCACTAACAGAGTCTCCTCTCCCAGAATCTCTAGAGGAGTTTTTCCTCAACCGCCTCTTTGCTTTAGCATTTATTTTGGCTTCAGTAATTGAAGTTGCAGGAATCCAATTTCCATTGATTTCAGTTTTTCGTTCCTCAGACCCACCATTTTCTTCATCACCAGAAAATGGAGCATCATTTAGATTCTCAAGTTCTTAAAAAGAAGACAGAAAAAAAAACC